TTCGGAGGAGGCCTAATCTGTGGGATCTAATCGGTCTATTGGAGGTAATTGGCAGCAGGCGGTCTCTCAAGTGTCTGTCCAATCACACTTGGCCAGATCAAGTGTTCTCTTCTCTTCTCTTCTTTATTCTATTCTATACCACCATCTGACACCTGTCATAAATTAGCATTTGATTGATCAGCCACAAAGGCCTTGGAAAAGATATTAAGATAGCAGGATGGTGAAACTACAGTATTCCCTGTAATGCTGTATGGAAGGGAAAATTGGACTTAAGTAGGATAGGAAGACAATGAACACTTTTGAATTTTGGCGTTAGAAAAGAATCTTGAGAATATTGTGGACCGCATGAAAACAAATTGATAGATCATTGAACAAATCAACCCAGGGTTCTCATTTGAGGCACAAATGACAAGGGTCAAATTAGCCTAGTTTGGACATAAGTGAAGTCCAGCTTTCTGGAGAAGGCTCTAATGAAGGGAAAAGTGAAGAAGAATGAGAAGAAGATGACCAACAGCAAATGTGAATGGACCCAGTTACAGTGGCAATGGATGCATCATTGGAAGATCCAAAAGATCAATTTAGGGACAGGTCATCATGGAGAAAACTATTTATGTAGTCACTAAGAGTCAAAAAGGACTTGATTGTTCAAATAAATTCCACAGTAGTATGCAATATGAGTATGCACAGTTCAGTGCAAATGTTAAAGATATGCTTACATTGTAAACAGAAGGCAGCACATACAGAATACCAGTGGGGAAAAACCCAGTCAATTAAAATACCTCAGTAAAGTTCTTGCGGAGAGGGGATTTGGGATGGATTTTAAAAAATTGATCATTATTTTATTTAATGAAACAGTAATCAAGAAAATTTGAGATAATTGAATAAATGATAAACTGACATTTTCTGAAGGCAGGAATAAATATAGCCAACAGTTCATGTCCTGACAATCATTATTACAATATATTAAGATTTAGCCCAGGTGTGCTTTTATAAAACATCTGCTGCACTGCTTTTAAGGAAAAATTGGGTGAAAACAACAGCTTGTGATAAAATATAGGAATTAAACAGGAATAGTAGTTGGATTGAAAATTGCCAACACTTCTGTGCATTCTCAAGGGATAGCTGAATCTTTCACCGATCTGCTCAAGTTGCACTGGTCAGAGCCATAGTGAAAAAGCAGTGGTTAAAACAAGCCTTTTATATTCCATAATAAAATGACCATTTGGTAAAGAGCTTTTAGATTTTCTTTGGAAGCCACATATACCGAATATGAGATCATTAAATATGAGATTAGGCTGAATGGCCCCTTCCCAGCCTTGTGGTTCTATGATTCCTAGGTAACAAGTTGCTGACTTTTAATTTGAAATATTTAGACTCTTTAACTTTTTTTGTTTAAACCAAGGAACAATGCATTGTATATAAATCCACACCGGTTCCTCCCTCCCTGTTTGGTAAATTGAAGTCGATATTAACAGTGACTTCCTTTCATTGGGTTCTCAGGGAATGAGCATGAGGTTGCTTTAATTGTGATTTGAATAGCCTAGTCTCTTCTGTTGTTTAGGTTATGCTGGCTGCTTCTTACTGGTCCCTTCTTGAACCTGCAATTGAGCTAGCTGAGGAGTCTGGGAAGTTTGGAGCCTTGGCCTTCCTCCCTGTAGCTGTTGGCTTCACTCTGGGAGCAGCATTTGTATACTTCACTGACCTCCTGATTCCATGGCTGGTGAGTACCTCTCAAAATCTGATCATCCAAGACCAATAGTTATTTTTGGTGTGCTGGGGATTACTCTGAATGAAAAACGGGTACCAGGTAAGGTGTATCATTTTTGATCCAGCTTTCTTTTCAGAGCCTGTGGTGAGTTTGGGGAAGATGGAACAATGTTTATTTGGTGCTTTGCTCCTTTGATATGCCTCACTGTGCATTCTAAATCATAATTATTAATAGGAAAAGTCCAGCACTTGAATGACTATAGCCAGCATCATGACTATGAGTCGGAATCTGTTTCTTGCCTATTGTGAAAGCAACCATTCCAGATAATCTCACTCAGTGATTTTTACTGTTCCCCTTCTCCAGTTGGAACAGGAGTGAGACACTTCTGGCTTTTATAACCCCAAACAACTTTCTCCTAGATTTTGTTTATAAAGGTTTCCTTGCTTTTGCATCTTTTTTTGTTTATTTTCGGGGCGGGGGGGGGGGAATGTTGAGAGAAGATTGAAGGAAGACCAAAGAAAGAGAAAAAGACACAGCAGGAAGGAAGATCAGGTGTGAAGGGTTAGAACTGGTGTGATCTTTTTTTTCCTGGGTCTTGCCAAGATATGCAAAATGTTTAAAATTTCAATAATCTTATTTCAATTCTAGAAGATTTTATTTGCAGTGTTCTGAGTGTGCTGAAAACACTTTAAGCTTAAACATTTGAAATTCACACTATCTGGACATCATTCTTCTTCTTTACCATATCAATACCTTCTCTGTCTTTTTTGTCTCTGTGTACTTGCTAGATGTCAAGAAGCCAAAACCGTTCTGTTTTTCTGTCTGCCATGTACTTTGTCTCACAATGAGAGGACAGTAAACAGAAGAATCTAGGATGGACACGGATGGCCATCTTGACAAATGGCATTATACATGTCTTTTTGACCATGCCAGTCTTAGGATATTGGACAATTTCAGTGCTTATATTTCTGCATTCTTTGTGCATATGAAAATGAGAAAACTCAGTTTCTTTTCTCATTTTCTTTCTAGTAGATGTCTTCTCTATTTTAAATCTAAAACTTTTTAAAAGTAGTTTATGGGCATTCTTACTTTGGAGATTTTGAATTGGTTTTTTGAGCAGTGGTCTATTCCCTTATTTTTTAGCAAAGAGCTAGAACATAGAAGTAACCCTCAAGTGATGTCTTTAACTTGGAAATGTTTTCTCAGCTCCTAGTTGGAAGGGTGGGCCTTAATTAAGCAGAGAGAGGCAGTTATTTTCATGAATATCTTTTACAGAGTTACAAATTGACAGTCATAGGTAGTCCTCAACTTATATCTCTTCATTCAGTGACCATTCACTGTTATGATAGAGCTGAAAAATGGATGTATGACTGATCCTCAAAGTTCTGGACATTGTAGCATCCCTGTGGCCATGTGAATGATGCTGGTGCTTGGGTGCCTGGAATGCAATTATGATGTTCCAGGAAACCATTATGTGATTGCCATTGGTGACCTTCCCTGCTGGGTTCCACAAGCAAACTCAATGGGGAAGCTGCAGGGAAGGTTGCAAGCCATTCTAATAAGTCACTTCCACTTTATGTCTCATCTATAGTACACCCCCATCCCATCCACAACTGTCTTTGGTCTCTCCAGGCCTTACTTAAATGCAGCCTGCACTGGCTCTCCCAGATCCTCTGACGGCCTCCCCCACAGCACCCCACACTCCTTACCTGGGACTCCTGCCTCTTCCTGCTTAACCACCCACATGTCTTGAGGTTATGATGACAACTGTGTCTGGCTGGGATTGAATTCAATTGAATTGAATCAAATACTTTATTTGGTCAAGTATGATTAGACACACAAGGAATTTTCTCTGGTGCGGAAGTTCTCAATGTACGTATAAAGTAACAGAATAATGATAATCATAATAATAAAGAAATAAAGTAAAGGAGTAAAGAAGATAAGGATAAAAATCCTATAGCCATACTACATAGATAAACACACATAGACAATAAATTAAATTGCTATTGTTAAGTAATGCAGTCATTTGATGTTACGGTTTATGATCACTTATTTTAGCAATGTGAATCCAGATTTCAATTGCCAATGTAACCTGACAACAACTTGCACTTTGTTGGTATTAGTTATTAATTCAGTAGATACAGGTTCATATAGAACAAATATATACAATTGTTTAAAGGCCTATACATTTTTTTCAACAAAAAATAATAGTGTTTCAGGAAATGTACCAAGATTTCTTGGCAGATGTGCAAAAAGGATAATTCTATATATAATAGCATATGTACCTGCTACAGGAGGACATTTTTTTGAGTATTTATGAACCAAATCTGACATTTCCTGCTAATAATGAGAAAACTTTTATCTAAATATACCATAGAGAATGTAGTTAAGTTCCTTTTCTATCTCTTTCCCTCCCTCCTTCTCTTTTTCAAACTCCCTCCTGATGAAGATCTTGCTATAGCAGCTTGTTTTTCTCCATTAGTTAAAACTGAAGTGAGGAAGAAATCCCTTTTAAGGTTTTTACAACGTGACTGGACTGCTAATGTCTTCTGAATTACTTAACCAGGTTTGCTGTATTGAAGTCAAGGAATAGGTTCAAACTGCTGAACTTCTGAGATTTCCTTCTATCCTAATATTTAATGTGATACTTAGGTATTTTGTTTCATTGGGTCCCAAACATCCTAGTAGATTTGGAAGGTTATGTTGGTTTACAATCACAAGTTAGGATTTCATTACTTTTAGTAAGTAATTCATTTCAATAAACATAACTTTAGATAGTTAACTTTGATCTCTTTGGTCTTTTACTCTGTGTACTGTTGTTTATGTTCCCTTTCCCCTTTGAGTTGTTCGCCGCCCTGAGTCCCTCCTGGAGAAGGGCGGCATACAAATAAACCAAATACAAATACAAATCTTAAAATCCTTCTGTGTCTTCTCTGAACATGCAGAGAAGTAAAATGTAGAAATAAAATTACCTTTAACATTGTAATCACGTGAAGATCAAGATCACGTGAAGTGTTAATACCACTTTATAATGCCTTGGTAAGGCCACACTTGGAATACTGCATCCAGTTTTGGTCACCATGATGTAAAAAAGATGTGGAGAAAGAGTGCAGAGAAGAGCAACAAAGGTGATTAGGGGACTGGAGGCTAAAACGTATGGAGAATGGTTGCAGGAACTGGGTATGTCTAGTTTAATGAAAAGAAGGATTAGGGGAGACATAATAGCAGTGTTCCAATATCTCAGGGGCTGCCACAAAGAAGAGGGAGGGGGGACAACATATGCTCCAAAGCACCTGAAGGCAGGAGAATAAGCAGTGGGTGGAAACTAATCATGGAGAGAAGCAACCTAGAACTAAGCAGAAATTTCCTGACAGAACAGTTAATCAGTGGAACAACTTACCTCCAGAAGTTGTGAATGCTCCAATACTGGAAGTTTTTAAGAAGATGTTGGATAACCATTTGTCTGAAGTAGTGCAGGGCTTTCTGCCTAAGTAGGGGTTGGACTAGAAGACTTCCAAGGTCCCTTCTAACTCTTATTCTGTTTTCTGTAATACAATAAACAACCTTTTATTTAGATTAACTACTAGATTGCTGGTAACAAAGGAGACATCTTGGCTTTGGTAGATTAAATAAACCACAGAATTAAACATTTTAAAATATTGTAGTCTGGCAACTTCTTAGTTCAATTTTAGTTTTGAAGTTCTTCGTTCCTTTTAGAATGGCTGTTACAGTCAGTTACAGAATGTTCTTTTAGTTTGGAATAATTTCTCCCTTTGGTTATTAATTTCTGCCAGTCTTGATCTCAGAAATAAATTTCTGTATTATTTTGCCAAGACACTGCCCGGTTTGCTTTATGTAAAGTGCGGAAGGGCATTGCTGATGGGGATTGGGTGACTGCCCACTGCCAGGAGTTTGATCCTGATCAGCTGAAGGTTGACTCAGCCTTCCATCCTTCCGAGATCGGTAAAATGAGGACCCAGATTGTTGGGGACAATACGCTGACTCTGTAAATTGCTTAGAGGGGACTATAAAACATGCGGTATATAAGTCTAAGTGCAATTGCTGTTGGAAAATAAATAAATGAATGAATGTATGAATGATGTTGTCAAAGTCTGTTTAATGAACAAGTGGTTGAAAATTGAGGACTACCTATAGTCCTCATTTATCAACTGGCTATTAGGACTGACAAGTCTGTTGCTAAGTGGTGTAGTTGTTATGTGTCAGTGTCAGACCGGAAAGCCATCTTTTACATTGGGCCATCAGGCCGGCCACATTTTCTACTGTGGGAAAATGGGAAGGATGAGATATAGTCAAAATAACATTCTTTTCTCAGTGTGTCAAGGTCACCTTTCCCTGCAGCTGCAATTGTGTAACTGGGAGGCACCTCCAGAGTTGGATGGTGGCTGACTGGATCATGTGATGGACATGTGGTTACTGGGCAGGGGCTTGAACTTTCTTTTGGGTGGGGAAAACCTGGAAGCCTTCAGATTCGGGTTTTCCCAGATATACCAATATGACATCTCTAATAAAATGGAACTTTGAGGAAACTCCATCCTCAGAGTCTTCTTTTGTTGGGGGTGTTACTTGGAACCCTGACAATGAGACTGTGACAGATTATGTCAGTTCTGGCTATAGTAGTTAAGCAAATTATCCTAGATTGCCAAGAATGACATCATGTTACTGCGACTTGCAACTTCTTGTGGGTTTCCCCATTGATTTTGCTTGTCAGAAGCTGACTCTGTTGCAAATGATTATCATGTGACTACAACCATCATTAAATATATGCTGGTTGCCAAGCACTAGAATAATTATCTGATGACCATGGGGATGCTGCAATGTCTGCAACTTGAAGGACTAGTTGTAAGTCTCATTTTTCAGTGCTGTCGTAAGTTTGAATGGTCACTGAACTGGAGATCAGTAAGCAAGGATGTGTATTGCTATTCCAAGTATCTATTTGTTGTTTCTTAATTCTTTTTTCATCTACTGAGCCTTCTAGCAGGGTTCTCTGTATA